TCTAAGCGCCAGCTTTCAAACCTGGTAAGCTCGAGTTTGCAGGCTGTCAGGATGTTGTGTGCCGCAATGCGAGGCGGTCCACCTTCGATGATGAACCTTACAGCTTCAGCAGAGTCACTCTCAATTATCGTTTTCTTGATGCCCAGGTGGACAGCTAGTTGGATGCCTTTGAGAATAGCCCATGCCTCTGCCTCGAGCGGGGAACATGTTCCTATGTTGAATACAAAGCCCTGAGACCATGATCCTGTGCTATCTCGTATGAGGCCTCCGCAGCTTGCTTTATTGGAATTGGCATGGACTGATCCGTCTACGTTCAGTTTGGCAAAACCTTCTTGAGGTTTTTCCCAGCAGATCTGCTTCCAAGAGGATGACGATCGGGAAGTCAGCAAACCCCTGCCCTTTTCAAAGGCACGAATCGCTTCATCGTATTTGGTTCTAATCCACGAGACTTTAAGGCCAAGAGGTTTCCTAGTGTTGTTGAAAACTGCTTCATTGCGCCATTTCCATATCCACCACATGGTGATGGCAAACAGGGTGTTCTTAATGATAGGAGCTTTAGCGTCCCCTTTTAATTTCACCATGATGCACACGTACTGCTTCTACCAATACAACACAAATACACAATAATATTTCATACAGTATATCATGATTCACAATATAATGAATAAATGAAAAATATAAAACTAGGGTTTGTGATTTACTTCTTTTCTCCCAAAAATCCTTGGAGAACAAGGGCTTCAATGAACACCATGCAACCACCAGTTCATCAATCACCATGACTAGGGCTTCCACCACTCCACAAGTACCACCAGCACCGAATCACCAAACACTAGGAATGGACTACCGGAGATGACCATCTCAGAGAGTGAGACTATGATTGAGTAAGTTTGTAAGAAAATAGAGAACTAAGGGAAGAGAGATTGAGAAAACAGGTCGGTCGATTGCTCGAGCAATAAGACTAAAGATAAGAGATAACTCAGCGTTTGTGAGAGAACTAAAGATTAGAGAAACTAACAAAGAGAACTCAGGTCTCACCGGCTCAAAGAATGAGACTATGAGAGATTAAGAGAAGAGAACAAAGAACAAGACAACTCAGGTCTCAGAGAAGAGAATAGAGAGGTCTAGAAGGTTGAACATACGCAGCTGCGCAAATGAGGCTTCCACCATCTGTAATCCAGACAATGTCATTTAGCTGTTGCCTAATCCTAACCCTACACACTTTCGAATATTTGGACAAGTCGGTTCACAAAACCCCTTCCCCAACTCGATGAAACAAAACCGGCTTTCTTGGTGGTTTGGGTCGATTTAGTGAAAATGGGTTCGATTTGGTACGAGTTGGCTTAACACGGTTAACAGATCAGTTTTTGCTTGACCCTAATCCTCCTTGGTCTAGTGGTCTGTGATCCTTCCTTCCAATAGGAACACCAGGGTTCAACTACTACTAGTTACACATCATTTGACCTAACTTATTACTTGGATTATAACAGGGTCTGTTTGGAAAGTAGGAAAATGACTTCTGAAAAATGAGTTATTTTTCGAAAAATATTTTCCTTTCCCGTGTTTGGCTGCATAGCAGAAAACTCTCTTTGTGTGTTTGGTTCATTTTTCAAAAAAATTACTTGAATTGTATAATTAAACATTTTCATTATTTTGTTTAATTAAAATTTAATCTCACTGCAAATTTATATATTGTCATGGAAGCTTCCACACCAGTCTGCCAAATGAGAAACAAATCCTTCCTCTCATCCAACACATTAGAATACAAATTCAAAAGCTTAACATTGATTGCATTGGCACCCAAAGATCCTACCAGAACTAACACTACTTTCCCTTCTCCTTCCAAATCTTTCAATTCTGGGAAAAAATGTTGTGTTGCCATTTCTTTTCAATAATGAAGATCTCACTAGATTGCCACAAACTACACACTTTTTCATCTGCCAAAAACACTCAATACTTTAATCGAATGCTAAAAATATTTTATCAGCAAAGAGGAAAATCACACGATTTGCGAACCCAAGAGCTGCGTTTTGCTCTTGGATTACAAATTTTACGCCTCCAAGCGCGGCAACGAGAAAAATGGGGAATGAAACAAAGCCTTGATTTCTTCTCCAATAATGCCTCGATTTCTTCCCTAGCTTCGTCGCCTTCTTCCTCTTCCTCGTCGTCTCCTCCATTGCCCATGGTGGGCATGGCGACGATGATTTCGACCTTGACGAATCCAAAAAGCCTGACCTGAGATCTCGACAATTCATTATCTTAGTCGTTGATTATGGTCAAGATATGGTGCATGAGTCTTCGCCGACCGGTTTCCGGCCCGACAACTTGGAAGAAGGTGAGAGAGAAGTTGCGTGAGGAGAGGGCAGAGAGAAGAGGCATGAGGAGAGGGCAGAGGTGAAGAGGCGGAATATGACTTCTCAAAAAAGAAGAAGTCATTTTACGAGCTGATTTTCCTTTGACTTCTCTTTTTTTTACCTAGCTAAACACCAGAAACCCGGAAAATGATTTTTAAAGTTTTCAAACACACTCTTATATTATTTATTATTTGAACCACCATTTTGAATCAATATCGCTTAAATTATTACAAATTTATTTCCACAAATTCATTAACCGGCACATTCTAGAATATTTTCTTTGTTTCACATAACACATTCGAATTCTCATCGCAAAATATCATAGGGGCATGAGGGTAATTGTAGAAGATCTGAGTACCCGTCTGCATACGGGTACGGATACCCCATCTGCACTTGCCACCTTCACCACCGCCACCTTCCTCCTTCCTCCGTCCTTCTCACCGCCTTTCTCCTTCACGTCCGTTTTCGCCGTCACCGTCAGTACATCCTTTTCTTAAGCAGCCTAAGGGATCTTTCCGCAGACACGCCCACCGCCCTCTTTGACATTTTCATTACCCTAATCTTCCATACCAAAGTCCTAATCACTTTGTAATATCGTCTCTAGTGGAATTCCACGTGGCATCCCCTGGTTAGCTACCTCGCTAGATCCCACGTGGAGTAGGGGGTATTGTCACGTGGCCTCCCCTGTACTTTCTGGGACATGAGGTTTATGCTTTATGCAGTGTGTGACTGTCCTTGCGAGAGTACCTATCCTATACACGTTTCAATTTTTTTTTTTTTCTTTTAAATACATTTATTTTTGCGAAGTTTTTTTAAATACATTAGGTTTTTAAATTTACAGGAAAATCACGAGACCGAACTCAACAGCCCCAACTCTAATTTAGAGAGTCTTAGTTTCAAAATGTTGATAGGAGTCAAACTTTACCATACCACAAAACGGTTGATTTTAGATCAGATTGTCAACTATTTGAGCTAACGGACTTGTTTCGCGAGGCTTATTTCATCTATTTTTTATTTGATAAACTAGGTATCCCCACTTACACTAGACTTATCTCAAACACTAGAGTCATTGTTCAAAAGCGCAAGATAAAGTAAATTTCGAGTCGCATCGTCAATCTCCAAATTCCTACCCATGCCTGTACACTATACACACCTTCACATCAATCAAGATCTTCCAGTGACCCCTAAATTTTAGTGGAATTTGAACTCCACACTGCTGCTAGAGCAGACTTGAATAAGGTTATTTATAAATTAATTTTTATAATATTAAATATATATTTGAATATAAAATTTATATATTTAAAATTTATACTAAATATAATATTAAATATTAGAAACAATTTTAAAAGTAATAAAGAAATATATAGTAAAGAAAATGAACATTTTATGTGCATGGTACTCCGATCCTCCCCCAATAAAAATCTTCTACTTTGAAGAATTTGTATTGTTCAATGGCTAGATAGAGGCAATTTATATCCTACACCACGGCGCGCGTTGCACTATGCGTCCAGATGCAAAACGACGTCGTTTTAATTTTAATTTTTTTTGAAATTTCCCGTCCCAGTGAATGGCAGTAGTTTTTTCTTTAAAAAAAACCCGCTGTTCAAGAATGTACATAATGTTATACTAGAATACACATAATTGTATACATGAATGTACATAATTATATAACAAAATATACATAACTCTTTTTAAAAGATAATACACATAATCTAACATAATACATAATAAACATAAACTTTTAACATAATACACATCAACTATTAACATAATACACACAAATTTTCTGATTCGGATGTACATAATTGTATAAAAAGAATGTACATAACTGTATGAACCAATACACATAACTGTATGAATAAATACACATAACTGTGTGAACAAATACACATAATCCCAGCAACTTCCTATCGCGCCTCCCAAAACGACCCCAAAACGACGTCGTTTTGGGAGGCGCGGCGCACAGTGCTAAGTGCGCCGTGGTGTAGGGTATAACGATTGCTAGATAGAGCCACCATATCATATCATATCATATCATATCTTTAGCTTTTATCTTCCCAAAATTCTGTCTTTTGCTATTTGCACATATTTGATCATATTCCCCGCATCCACAACTAGCACTTTCAATTCATAACGCATAGTGAATGTTGTCATCTTGTTTATATAAAAATTTACAAGATAACAATATTAATAAATAAATAAAAACACACAAATGCATATTGACTGTCATAAGTGCAACAACAATAGCTGAAAAGCATAAACATAGTTCACCTCTAAAAAATGGCCTAAAAGGTAAATTTTAATAAACTTTTATCTTGAATATGAATTCTACACTATATTATAACTTGAATACATTAAATTATTGTATGTATGGTAGTGAATCAAGCGTAGTGGGATCCTCATTCGTACTTTGCAAATTTTCTTTAAGAAAAGATCAAATAAGTGACACGTGAAGATAAGATAAGAGATTATCGAACATATTAACTTTATAAGATTCGTTAGCAAAATGTTTATCATTTATAACTAGGGTGCAGTTGAAGGAAGCTATAACAATAATAAAATCAATAAAGCGTGAACCAACGGTCCAGAAACGCGTGAGAAACAAACATAATTAAAATGTAAGAAGATTCCCGTCCAGGCTATATATATAATAAGAGTGTGTGTCTAGAGAGGCATGGAGCATCAAAGATATAGTTCGAGAAATGGGTTTTAACCTAACCTCTATATAGAGGGATAAGGAGATAGGAAGCAGATGAGATCTAGATAGATAGAGAGTAACAAGAAACCCAAAATGTTTCTTTATCTGCATTTGCACCTGCACCTACATACACTACTGCAACTCTTTCATTCATATATATATTGTGTGTAATGGAGGAGGAGAAGATGAAGATAGGTGTGGGAGCAAGTGCAGATGAATATCAGTTTGGATAAAGTTCAGACTTCCATTTCCATCATTGTTCATCATCTTCCTCAAAACCCACCAGACAATACATTCGGTATGTACAAAGGATGTCTGTATTTTTGTCTTCATTATATTATTTCTCTTTGTCTGTGTATTAGGAAATGGATTTTCCATTCTCAATAAAGAGCATACTTTTCATATCTAAACAGCCCCAAAAGATGATTATTATTGCTGGAAATTATTATTTAATTTCTTCAAATCTTTTATTAATCCTTCAATTCCTTTTTTGAGTAATTATTTTGATATATTCTTGTCAATGACTACACATATTTGGAGACGTAAATAGTGGCAGAATCAAGATTTGAAGATAGGGAGATGAGATTCCATTACGTGATGTTTGGTTTGTGAAATACAAAAGGAATGAAATATCATTTCGTAAAATATCTGCTTGATGGTGCAATTTTTAGAGTAAAGAAATAGAATTTCACGGAATAGTTTATTTCCTTTACAATAGGAAGAGCTATATATTCCTGATGTCTCCTTGGTATTTGTTATTCCTAGCCTGTTAGAAATACCTATTTTTTATTATTCAAAAAATTCACTTATAAACTCTTCATACACATGTAATACACGAATGGGAGAAATCCAGTTCATGAACAATTATTTTGTTCTTCAATTTCTTTTTAATTAGAATTACTTATGAAATAGTATAATAAATTTTTTTATTTTTGTATTTTGGTATTTTATGGTGGGTGAATATGTATATATTTTTATGTGTTTTATTTTGAATAAGAGTATTTTAGTTATTTAATTATATTCATTTTTGATCTATTCCTGGTCCAATCAACCACAAGAATTTATCTTAAGATTTCGGCCATGTTTGGTAAATTGTTGTTAGCTGATAGTTGTTAGCTGTTAGCTGATTGTGTTAATTAGAGGGTATAACTAATTGATAACATTAGCTGGTGTGGAAAAGTATTTGGTAAATTAGCTGTTAGTTGATAGCTGTTTGGTATAATTTCTTTTATGAAAAATCTATTTGAAAAAGTTGCTTGGAGTAGCTTTTAGAATTTTAACATTTTGGAATTGCAAAAAGCTAATTAACCAAACACTTATATTGATATTTTAACTAAATAAACAATTAATAGTAGTTAAATAAGTCAAAATTAATCTATAAATCAATTTTTTATCAAACAGGACCTTCATGTTTTTCAAATTATGAACCAAATAGTAAAATAGTATTTATATTATATTCCTTTCATATTCTATTCCATTTAGAATACTAATCTATTTTTTTTCTTTAAATCAAACGCCACTTAGGATTAGGCCATTATAACGCGCGTACATATATGAGTTTTTAAATTTTATAATATAATTGAGCCACATCATGTTTCTTTTAATCAATTCAAAATATAAAGAGAAAATTACACTTTTAGTCCTGTGACTGTTGGGGTCTTGTTAATTTCAGTACTCGACTTTAAAAACTAACACTTTAGTCCCATAACTATGCAATTTTTAACACATTTGGTCCTGTCGGCCAAATCACTGTTGGTGATAATGAACCACAATCAATTTAATATCCGTAAAATAATATTTATATATATACAGACGAAATATATATATAAAATATTATTGGATATATATCCGAAATATATATATACACACAAATATATATAAAACGGACCCAACGGTTATATATACATGTATATCTACGAAAAAGATATACCAATATATATCAACCAAAAAGAAAATATAATCCTTAGATTATAATTCCAAAACAACAAGAAAGAACGGATTTTTGCTTAGAGCATAATCCAAAACAAGAAAGAAGGAGAAGGAAGAAAGATTCGTACGAGTTAGGCAAAGTGCCTGTCTTTCCTTAAAACCTTATTTGCCACCTCCCAAAAGTGCTAGGAGCGTTGTGGCCTAGGTCTCCCAGGATAAAACGTACAACGGTTCGACGTTTGAGCACCCAAACGAACGAACCCGTCGAACAAGAGCACGGGCAAAACGCAGCTTCAAGAATGGAGTAGAAGCAGAAGTATTTTGAGGCTTGAAAAAGATATTTTTCTTGTGTGTTCTTGTTACTTTTTCCTTAGAAAATTCTGCTGCACTCTACCCCTTCTTATATAGGGAGTGAGGAGTGAATAGCCTTTATTATGGCATTTAGGGGCATCCCTACAACTTCTTGTAACATCCACCATTAACATGGGTGTTAATGCAAAAATTAAAAAATTGCCATTAATCCCATAACAGCTGGAATTAAATCCCAACAGTCACAAATTAGAAGTTGTAGGAAAACTGTGCATGGCCAGCACAATTTCGGCCAAAGCCGAAACTGCCTTGGCCGAAACTTTGCATGCAAAGTTTCGGCCATATACATTTGACCGAAACTTTGCATTTAATGCAAAGTTTCGGCCATTAGGCCCAAAACTTTGCAATGCAAAGTTTCGGCCACTTGGCCATTTCAAAGTTTCGGCCAAGTGGCCGAAACTTGCACTTAACCTCCACGAAATTATTTTCGTGTTTCCCAGTGGCTGTGTCGGAAAATGAATACTAAAATTTTGAGATTTGATTTGCACCCCCCTACGCATAAGAGAGAACCTCTATGCTATACAATTCAATAAGCTTAAAAAGAGCTCTTGTATAAATAGTGGGGCAAATCCTCTTCCCAAACCAATGTGGGACAAAAGCTCACTTTTTCCCTTCATTTTCCAACTCACATGGGTCTACTTTGAGAATCAATATCTCATTCACCCATTATCCGTTTTGAGCGTACAATATATCAATCTCTTCGTCTCACTACGAAGAACCCGAATCCACTTTGACCCGACCCAAATCGGAAGTGGACCCCACTGATAATTGTACCACAAAATAGCCACTTAATATGCCATTTTAAGCTATTTTTTCCAACAATCCCCCACATGAATGAAAAATTGATTTTCAGGGTATTTTGAAATCGGAAACAAACTGTGTTCAACTGTCGATCCCTGCATAGGATAGGTAGGGATCACTATACCCTTTGAACCTTCCCTTGTGAAGACATGTTTACTCTACTGGCTGTACGGTAGAACGCGATGTCTTTGAACCGACTGCCGTTTGTATAGACGATGACATATCTCACACAGGAACCTTCCAACCATGCTCTGTTCTCATGAGTGTGCCCATTTTGGTCGTGGGTCACCGTCCTGGTTCTGCAAGAGTTTGTGAAGAATTGTGCCCATCAATTCTCCTTTGAAGCGACCCTCACTTCTCTCTCACATAGGTGATTCTTTTCTGAGTATCCCGCATACTCACACATGTCAACCGACATTCGAATCATTAAAGCATCAACATGCTAACCTTGCGCGGGAGTCACTATTTCTAACGAGGAGTGGTAGGGAGTCCGAGACCCCCCACAGTGACACGCTCTATTCCATAATTTAGTTGTCCCATTGAACCTAGGTGCCAGCTAGGTTGGGTATCCACTATAGAACTTTTAGTCCAAGGGCTTTAGACCCATTCCTCGTTCCAATTTCTCCACAACTATTTGCTTACCTTCGGGTTAGCGAGTTAGCGGCCGCTACGTTATCTTTTGACATCACGTAGTCAATAGAGATAACCCCCTTTGTGAGAAATTGTTTAATGGTATTACGTCTTCGACTTATAAGTCTAGACTTACCTCCACATCTAACTCTGTACTTAACCAATTTTGGCTTGACTATCGCAATGCACACAAATTGGAGGTACGAGTTCACCACTAGGAACATTCTCAAAATAATGGCATAGCCATTCGGCCTACTCGCTCGCGACACGAGTGTAAGGCTCCCAGCTTTGATCCCGTCGGATCTTAGCTATCACACATTCATTTCGAGAATTTTCGTCCAACCGACTGCACCGGCCTACGTAAAGACGTAGCCTTTAATGGACTTAGCGTCCTTTGATATCCGTGTTATACTTTCCAAGTACGACTAGATATCCCACGTTGTGTAGTCCAAAATCACGAGCATACCTTAAGTATCTCATAACTGCTATTGCCTTCTAGTGCCCCACACTAGGGCTACTCGTATGTCTACTGAGTTCGTTAACCGCAAAGGCAATATCCGGCCTAGTACAACCCATTTGATACAATTAAACTACCGATAATCTAAATGTATTCTCCGTGAGAAATACAATCTCCGTGATTATCGGCTAGTTGTACGTTAGTATCTAACGGTGTCCAAGCCACTTGATTAACGTCCTTTGCAAGGATTTAATCAAACTTAATGAGATTGGCTTAACACGAGACCATACAGTCTTCTCACAATTTTAATCCCAAGGATTAAATCTGCCAACCCCATGTCAAATATCAAATTTAACATGTTCAAGGTAGAATTGATCATTTGATCGTTACTACCCACGTTGAGTTTATCGTGTATAGACAAATAGTGATAGCCTCGTCTATCGTACGCATTACGTAGACATTTATCACATTTGTTTATACTAAACTCGTGACACATCATTGTATGATCAAAACCTACATGCCAAATACTAAGGCAATTGTTTCAAACCATACAATGATCTCACCAATTACACATTTTCTTTCCCTAGCGTGGAACCACAAAACCCTCGGGTAGTTCCATGTCTATTAAGAAAGCGATACATCCATTTTGATAAACTTCCAAGTCTCGCTAAACAGCTCTTGGGAAGTATCATCCTAGTGGATTTCATTCTCATCACAAGAGAATATATATTGAAGTAACTGTGGCACTCGCGTTGCATGTAATTTAAAATTACAAGCTCGGCCATTTTACTTCGATATAACCAACCGGTTTTATCTTCCGACTAGTGATCCACTTAGGATCCAAAGGTTATACAACTTAGAGGAAGAACAACCAGTTCCAAGTATGATTCTCTAAGTTAGAATCTACTTCGCTCTCGATGGCCTCTCTCGGATTGGTCCATTTGTAAAAGTCACCACTTCTACATATGTTCGAGGCTCGTTTTCTAACAACCATGTCAGAAAATTCAATTTATTTTCTAGTAAACAAGTTAGAATATGCGCGTCACATTCTAGCATGTACGTCAGAAAATCTGGACCAAAGGATTATTCAATCCTAGCTCTCTTGCTACGTCTAGCTTTGAGCTCGGGTTCTCTTTCACACCCTTCAACCATAGCTACGCCGAAAGTTCCTTTCAACGTGCTAGGTCCTTTATTGATCCTTCACAAAAATACATCTTCCAAGAACGATGAATTTCTTGAATCAATCTTTCGTGTTCTTATGTACATCCAAACTCTTGGACTCGTGTACTAAGAACCAATACACACCTTTGGCAAGACACCCCCACATTTCGGGCATTAGAAGGAAACTTCCTACGTACCCACAATTCGTAAGAATTCCATGTGGGTAACCTTATTTAAAAGGGATTTACTTGTCCAAAGTATTGTCTCACCCTCATACTTTGAGGTAGACCCGAACTTATCAACGTCTTGATATTTTATGTTCGGCAACAACGCTCGATTGAGGTGAATACCGTGTCGTACGCTCGAGTACGATACCAATGCTTGCGCCGAAATCACCAATAGGTGTTTCTTTTTCACCACATCGATTGTTCGTAACCGCATTAATCCACGATTAATTTGGTTTTTCTCTTTTTATTCTTTAAAGAATAAACATGTGTTACACGCTAACACATATCGTAGGTGCTAACAGATTAGCCCTCACGAATCCATT